GCCACGAAGACCGTCACTCACGAGCTGAACGGCCAGTCGTTGTCACCGAATTTGGACGAAAATCAGTTGATTTCGAGGCGAAAGTCGAATCGCATATCGAAACCAATCCAACGATCGCTGGAGTCGTCGACGACCGCAAACTCGCCAAACGTGTCGCTCAAGAAGACAATTGGTCTCTACATGAGTGACACTCTCTTAACCACTGTTTTAACGCCTTTTTTCTCATTGTTTCGACAGTTAAACAAAACTTATTGCAAAATAATGTCACGAATTGCGAGACCGAGAAAGCGATGGTCAACCGGACGGCCAAACCGGACGACTCTAATGCCAAGAGCTCTAAGGGAGGGAAGTCTTTGCGAAAGCTTCAGATGTGGACCAATGAGGACACCAAATGCTTCTTTGAGGCCATTTGTGAAGTAATCGATTGATTGTTGTTTTGTTTGTGACATTTGATTGATATTTGATTGGTTTGTATGTATAGCACGGGAAGGACTTTCCACGCATTCAGTCGTATATGACTCAGAGGTGCGAGAAGAAGGGTATACCTCAGGATCAGATCAAGAACTACGAGCAGATCCGACATTATTACTACCGAATGTGGCATAAGATCGCAAACTCTATGGAACCCAATGAGGGTCTGAATGAATGCATTGATTGACATGTTGTCTGATTTGTTGTCTGATTTTGATTGTCATTTGAATTCACTTCAGTTGTGGACAAAAATATTCAAGAGATTTATGGACTCATTAATTACGGCGAGATTTGGAAGAAGTTTGGCACTAAATTTGATAACAAATTAAGCTTTTCTTTGCAACAATTGGTTAATTTTGGGTACGATTTCTATACATATGTGTTACTCATGAAAGCGATTTTTATCTAATCATTTGATCTGATTGTTTGCATTCAAGTCATACGACATTCAAAGTAAAAAAAGGCAGAATTCGCGTCAAAACTCCCATTTGTAACGCATTGAAGAAAATTCATAAAATCAAAGGTTTGTGAAATTGTGTGACAAATGTTGCGATCAATTGTGACAAATGTTGCGATCAATTGTGGCAAATGTTGCGATCAATTGGTTTTAACTGTGCTTTTCATGAATGAATAGTCGCTGAGAATGTCGACCAGAATCTACTGAATTTGCCGAAAGAGGTGTGCATTGAGTTGCATCCGGCGAACAACGAGTCGTGGCTGAGAGTGCACTCCCTGTCCCAGAATCCCAGAGTCAGAACCAAAATGTCTTTACAAAAGCGTTTGTCGTGTTTAGTCGAGTATCTGGAGAAACGCTGGAATCAGTCGCGCC